TGGCCACACATAGGGATCTCTTCCAGTCAGTTGTCTTCCAAATTTCCTGGCATCAATGAGTGAGTTTTTCTAAGTGTTTTATCAGCTTATTGAAACATTTCAGTTGCTATTCTGCTAATTCCTGGAGTCTGGTTTTTCACTACTCTCTTCAGTGCCACTTAGACTTCTTCTTGCAGTACCGTCAGTTACTGGTCATTTACTGCCTCTTGAAATGGTTGTATGTTGACAATTCTTTTTGGTACAATGACTCCATGTATTTCTTCCATCTTCTTTTGCTGCTCTCTACATGGTTCAATGTTTTGCCTATAAAATCCTCTAGTATTGTAACGCAAAGTTTCAATTTTTCTTCAAATCTATCAGCTTGAAATATGCTGAGTGTGGCCTGCATTTTTAGTTCCTACGCCCAGGTTTTTTGCCCTTTGTCTTCTTGAACTGCCTTTTAGCATTTTCTTTCAAGCTTGTTGGTTTCATCATTTCTTCCATTTACCTTAGCTACACTACATTGGAGAGCAAATTTCAGAGTCTCTTCTGACATCCACTTTGATGACCTTTTGTTTTCTTGATGTATGATGTTTTTCATGTCATCCCACAGCTCAGTAGGTCTTCTGCCATTAAAGTTCAGTGTGTAAAACTTGTTCTTGTAATGTTCTCTAAACTCAAGTGGAATATACCCAAGATTATAGTTTAGCTCTTGTAGACTTGTTTTAATTTTGTTGAACTTCAGCTTGAATTTGCTTATGAACAATTGATGGTCTGTTTCAGTGTCAACCCCTGGCCTTATTTTGGCTGCTGAGACATTGAGCTTCACTGTTATCTCTTCCTAAAGATGTAGTTAATTTTATTCTTGTATATTCCATCTGGGGAGGTCCACGTGTACGGTGACTATTTCTGTTATTGAAAAATTATATTTGCAAGAAGTCATTGGTCCTGCAAAATTCTATTATATGATCTCCAGTTTTGTTTCTGCCACCAAGACCCTGTTTTCCAACTGCTGTGCCTTTTTGTTTCCAGCCTACCCATTCCAATCACTAATAATTCTCAATGCATCTTGTGATCATTTTCAAACTGAAGAAGTTGGTAGAGTTCTGTATCACTATCTTTAGTGGTGGGCGAATATATTGTAAAAATGCTCAAAATAAGCAAGCCTGCAATCAATTTATAAGACTGTACTGGTTTTGATTTGTGGATGACAAATTTTGTTTTAAAATAGCAGGTATGGTAGAGAAGAGTTAATTCCCATAGAATTTTGCATATTTGCATTAAGTGGCTGAGGCCAAAGGAGCAAAACATGTTTCTTTTGTGTGCTTTATTGTTGTTTAAATATTTAATTTGCTTTATTGGTAATGACAGTTATGGTTAGTGGTTGCACTATGTACAACCTGACCAGTAGCACTGGGTTGTATTGAGAAGACGGGTGAGTTTTTCTATCTTTATACTTTGTAAATAGACTCTGTGACAGCGGTGATGATGGAAGGTCTATGTACAGGTGCATATTTGTGTCACATTTCCTAACTTCACACATTAAGTTGTCTACAATATATTGTGAAGATGTTTCATTCTCTCTCCTTTCAACTACTGTTTTCATCAGTATCTTATCTGGCATATTCTCCAGCCCTAGATTCTCACTAATGCTCATAATCTTTTTAATAACCTCTGAGATGCTTTCAATTGGCCCATTGCCTTTTTATTGGGGGGGGGCACAGTAAACATACAGTTTTTGTGCTATACAAAACACAAACACAAAAACCTTCAAACTCACTGCCACCGAGTATGTGCCGACTCTTGTCACCCTATAGGACAGGGTAGAACTGCCCTTGTTGGTTCCCAATACCACAACACTTTGTCGGAATAGAAAGTCCCACCTTTCTCCCATGGAGTGACTGGTAGTTTCAAACTGTGGACCTTGCAGGTAGCAGCCAAACAAGTAACCATATGCCACCAGCATTACTTTTTGTCCTGTAGCCACACTCATGTAGTGACTTGTTTATTGTCTTGCTGCAAAAACTATATAGTCTGCAAAGCCTAAAATATTTACCACCCTGCCCATTCTAAGAAAATTGCTATCCTCTGCTCTAAATTCACATTTGATAAAATAGAATACATTTGAACCTTTGCCTAAGCCTCAGCTGATATTTTTATTATATTAGGCTAACATATAATTTATTCAAATAAGAATGACACATTTTCTAGTGTTTAATCTGTTTGTAACCAGAGGCAAGGGATATGCAGTGAACTTTTTACTAAGTCCGCTTTAATTCTTCTCTACATTAGCATAGTGTGTGTGTGTATATATACATATATATATATAATTATGAACACTAGAATTTAGAGGCAGTGCATTTGGGTAATTCACTTTCATCTCTCTGTAAGCTCTTGCATTTTGAGGGACCTTGACTGTCAGAGAATTTGGTTTAAATCTTCCTCAATTAATAAAAATTGTGGACTTCCTCATATACTAATCATCAGTGATGATTTCCCAAAACTTAACCTTTGAATTATTATTCAAGTAATGCTTTAATTCTGTTCTCTGCCACTCCATCTGCTAAAAAGATTCTCGTCTTTTTAAAGCAAGAAATAGTCTGATATTCTTTTTTTTCCCTCTCTGTCATTATATTTTAATTAATATAGTTCATAGTTTTGAGTAATATTTTAAAACTGAAACCTTTTCTCATCTTATTACTAACCAAGAAAGAGTGAAATGGAACAGAGATGGGGATTAAAAGCAATGACCATATCTTCGTCTTGTTCTCCTTTAAATGCTCCATTGCATAAAACCTAAACTGCAGCTTCTCTTCAGTCAGATTTTCAGTGATAGCATACATGCATAAATTCCAGCAGCCTTCCTAAAGAGAAGAATTCATTTTTTTTAATTCATTGGAAATAGTTAAAGGACCTAAAGCTTAGAATAAAGGCAGAAAGTGTTACAGAAATGACAGGGTGAGCAGAGAAATTATAAACCCCAGTGTTAGTAATTGCTTCTTAAGTCTGACAGAACAGACAGCTACTTTCGCCATAAAGTTAATGATTGAGCTAACACTGCATTGGTGTTCTATTAGAAAAAGGGAAAGAGATCTTAATAAATTTGGAAAAGTGTGTGCATAAAGATGACTTAAGAATTTGGCAAGTCTTTTAGGTGCACACATTCATTCTTCCTTGACTCGCCAATCCCACGATGATGATCTATCTACAGACAGTTGTACACTATGAGATGGCATGCTCAAAGTTATTTTGAGCGACATTATTAATAGCAAAATGTTAACATCCACATGTCTGCCAACAAAGGATTGGATCCTAAAATCCCTGACATGCATGCTTAGCTGTAAAACACATAACATCAGTGACGATGTTGTTCTTTTATGCCATTGTACCTTACTAATTGTTGTAAGTGTCAAGTGATGTTTCTATTGTAACTCTCAATGTAACAGATAAAACTGTGCATGACTGTAGCATAGGTTTGCCTTATTATGATTCCAATTGCTGTTGTGCACATATACAAAGCATTTTATTTGCATATTTTCAGAAAACTTAATCCTCTTGGGTGTGGGTAACAACTGTTCTATTTTTATGGTTTGTTCCTTCATTTGTGAACAAGGTAAGGTAAGATGATTAAGACAGAAGTTAATATGTATGAAGGTGCTTCCTGGAAACATTTCATCATCATTTAATTCCATGTTTCCACAAATTTACAGAACAGTGCTTTACATTTTCTTTAAAATGTTTATCCAAAAAAAAATGTTTCTCCCATAATTGCTTAAATGATAGGAAAGTTTCTTCTCGGAGGAGGTTTATCTGAATGAACACAAAATAGACAAAGGCTTTAGGCCGAAGCTACAACTAGAAAAAATAATCATTGGAACGTAAATTCTAGACTAAAGTTGCTTAAAAGTAGATTTTGATAACACCTTAGATATATTACTTACAGCTTTGTGAAGGATCAAAGATAATGAATTTGTGTGGCTAGAATTTTGTTAAATTATGCTATTGATAACTATTCCAAAGAAGTTGGTCGTGGAGACAATTGGTTATTAGTGGAAAAGAAATAATTTTACTGTTCGGATGCTCCTTTAAGAAAAATTAAGAATCTAGACATGCAGAACTTGATTAGTCTTTGACTGGATATTCATTTCAGATATATCACTGTCATTTCTGTTCATTGCTGCAATAAATCTCTGATTTTAATTTTTAATATTTTAAGCTATACTCTGCAAAAAGAAATTTAAAAAACTAAGCTCACTGGCATTGAATTAATTCGGACACATTGCAAACCCTATAGGACAGGATAGAACTACTCTGTGTGTTTTAAACTATAGATGTTGCCGTTAGCAGCCCAAAGCATAGCCCATTATGCCACCAAGGCTCCTCTAAGCTATGCTAGAGGATTCAAATCCTTCGTGGAAAAGTGGGATTGAAAGATAATGGAAGTTTTCTACAGCTATTTGAAGTTCCTCCCTATTTCTTGCCTCAATAGTAATGCGAAACAAATACATAATAGTTTATATGTCATTAATCTTCTTAAGATTGTATTTTTATAATAACTCTCTGTATAATATAAGGAGCCCTGAGAGCATGGTTGTTCGGTGCTCAGCTGCTGACCTAAGGTTAGTGGTTCTCATCCACCAGGAGAAGGCTGTGGCAGTCGCTTCTGTGAAGATCAGAGATAGTTCTAATCTGCCCGCAGGGCCACTGTAAGTCAGAATCATCCGCAGTGCATTTCTGTAAATAGAGATTGCAATAAAGTGTTGCCTGTAATGTTCATAAGAGTTCTCTGCAGCTGAAGGATCGGGCCCATTTTATTTGATCTAGATGTAACTCAAGATCTTTTGACTCCAAATGTTTAAATTATGTCACCCTCTCTAGTCACACATCTATGATATAGATATAACTCAAAATCTTCCAGATCCAAATAATGTCATTTTTCCCCTCCCTAGTTTTAGGTTGGATGTCATATTTTAATTCTATGGTTTTGTAGCTATTTGATAAGATGTTTTTTATCTTTCTAGGATATGGGTTTAGTTGCACCTGAGGCTCCTTCAGAACAAGCCAGGAGAGTTTTTCAAACCTATGACCCAGAAGGTAAAAGATTTTATTACTTTATTAACACTGGCTCTGTGGTATGTCTTTATATATTTTATTAATACTTAACTGATTCTGATTCAAAAAGCCTCTTGAGTTACTAAAACACACTTCAGGTGTGTTTCCTGAAAATTATAAATGGAAAATGAGAAAATGGGAACCAGTAAAATAGTACACTTAAATGCCACTCAAGATCTATCATGGTATTAGGTTCTTATATCTCTTGGAGCACTAAAGTTATTGTTGGGTCTCTGGTATTCACTCTCAAGGGAGAAGTTTCCACTTCCTGAACAAAATTGTTGAAAAGTAATTTTTTTCATTATTAACTTATTCAAATGAATATTAAGTTAGAAAATCATCTGGGATATTATTGTATAATTCATTGTGCTTGTAAAATTTAAAAGTAACAATGCTATCATTCTCTCTTGACACTGTATACTTAACTGTCCTACCTAATAAAATAGATAGTTTTAAAAATATATGTGTGTACATTATATGTATTATATTGTATTCATATATATATATATATATATAAAATCACTAAGATGTTCTCCCTATCATTGGCACTGGGTTTATTTCACGTTTGCATGTAGATACTTTGTTAATGGTTTTGACTTACCTCTTATAGCCAGCTTATTTACTTTTTTCAACTATAACTTAAAAACCAAATTACGTTATAAAGAAGCTCTACTTTACATTATCATGTAGAAATCTAAGTTGTAGTTAAATCACTGAAGTCCTTATGAACGCTTGAATGGAGATATTTCACTTTCTGTGTATGGTTTCTTCTATCTTGCTACTTCTTTTACTCTTGGAAATCTGTTCTCGTCTGCTGAAAACGTGAGCAGCAGGAACACCAACTTACATCTTCTCTCCCTCCTGTCATTGGCAGTGTAAGTTCAGACAAGTGCATTCACTCCTATCAAGTCTATTCTGACTCATAACGACTCTATAGGACAGTGTCAAGCTGCCCTACAGGTTTTCTGAGACAGTTAACTCTTTACCAGAGTAGAAAACCCTACCTCTCTCCTGCTGAGAGACTGGTGGTTTTGAACTGCTGGCTCTATATAGGTAGCAGCACACTGCACCACCAGACTCCTAAGGCAAGCTACTTCAGGCATTGTTGAGATTCAGCCAGTTCAGCAGAACCTGTACTTAATTTTTGTTGAGTTCAGTTATTAAAATGGCATTTGAAATCAGGGTTCTCTCCTTACTCTTTTCTTTTTTTTCCTTTTTAAATCATTTTATTGAAGGCTCTTATAGCTCTTACAACAATCCATACATCCATTGTATCAAGTCAGTTTCTCCCTCTTCACTCCCACCTTCCCCCTACCCTCATGGTATTGCTACTCCCGTTGCTGTTCCTGAGGGGCTTATCTTTCCTGGATTGTGTGTGTGTTGAGAATTGTACTAGTGTACATCCTCCAGTCCAGCCAGATGTGTAAGGTAGAACTGGGGTCATGATAGTGGGGGGTGGCATTAAAAGAACTGGAGGAATTTTGTGTGTTCCTCATGGGAGCTTAAGTCATGTTCTTCAGCCACATACCTGGCTGTGAGTGAGCTCAAGTATATCCTACATGGTCTCTTGGGAGCACACGCAATCTTTCCCTCACTGTCTATCAGTATCTTCTATTAAAGACTGAAGTCATAAAGAAACATTTTTAAGTTTACTTTTGTTACTTGTAATTGACTGGAGTAAGGATTTCATATTGCCTCTTATTTTATTTTTATTTATTTGTTTTTTTAATTTGAATAAATCATTTTATGGAGGGCTCTTACAGCTCTTATAACAATCCATGTATTAGTTGTAGCAAACATATTTGTACATATGTTGCCATCAACATTTCCAAGACATTTTCTTTCTACTTGAGCCCTTGGTATCAGCTCCTCTTTTTTCCCCTCCCTCCCCAAC